AGATAGATAGATAGATAGATAGATAGATAGATAGATAGATGGGTGGGTGGGTGGATGGGCGGACAGACAGACAGACAGACAGACAGACAGACAGATTTTAAGAGCACATTATCTGCTACTTTTCATCTGCCCTGTGATCCACAGACAATTTTGGTATTTCTAAACTATCAGTTTCACTTTTCTGCTATCTTGTAAAATTCTGGGAACTGTACTTTGGTGAGAGTATTGAGAATTCTAATTTCCTGCCCATTCATCAAATGCTTCCCCAAAACAATTTCCATAAAGAGAGAACTTTGAACAAGCTGAGGGCTATAATGTAAATATCTCTTTGATGACTCTTTCTGCTCAGATCAATCAAGGAATTAAGGTAGGTTTTATTTCTGCAAATCTTACTACTACTTTCTCATTGTGTTCATTGCCCAATATGTGCTTCACCATTGTCTTTTAGTTTTGAATTTCTCCACTTTATTATGTTAATTTCCCAGGTCCATATTGCTATATCAGCCAGGTAGAATTAATCCTCTTGCTTGGAAAATGTAAAAAGCTTTAGTTGCAGGGCAGATCATTACTTTACATTCCATTATTTGAAACAACAGCTTGCTATGAGAATATTATGAACTTTTGAAGACAATTATATGCCTGGAAGGTGAGTATAAATATAAGATGTGGGATACCTCATTATCATTCCTACAAGATAGTAAAGGAAATATTAAATTCCACCATAATATAATCTCCTGGATATATTAAAATGCTATTATGAACATCGCAGTAATGTACAAAAATTATTAAAAGAAAAATGATTCTTGTGAGGAATAAAACATAATAAGCTCATTAATGCGCAGGAAATATAATACCCACAAACAGCAAAAAGGGGAATCTTTACAGTGTTCAGTTAAGGGATGGCAACTTTTACACTCCCCCCATATCTGATGCAGTATATTATTAAAATATATATTTCTAATATGAAGATAAGAATTCTGGTTCACTGGCAAGTTACACAAAACACGCCCATCTAAGATAGTTGCAAACTGGTAATAGGCACACATTATGTGGCGGATTGGAAGAGTCACACCCAAGAAAGTAACACCCAAGATTCTGATCTTCCCCTCTTCAGGTTCCAACCATAAACATGGGATAAGAAGGCGATGAGGTATCACTTTTGGTTCAGATAAAGGGAAGGAATGTGTGGACTGCATGTATTGTATGTGCAGGAGAGGATTGACTGGTGGCCTGGAGGAGAATAAACAAATGTGAATCTACTAATTTTTTTATAACAACATTACCCTGCAAACACTGTCTGTCCTACATCCAACAAGGTGTTAAGAATGTTGGCTAATAGTGTGTCCAAATCTGCCTTCTAATTCATGACAATATTCTTCTCCTCAGTAGATTTTTGCTATTATGTCTTGTTCTCTGAGTGCTTTAGTATTTCATTGGATGATGTTTTGAGTTTGTTTTGTCTTCCTGTTATACATCTGTCCATTACCCAGCAGCTTCCCTGGTTGTCCTCTCCTCGATTTAAAAAAGCCCCAGGGGAGGAATTTATTTATTTATTTTACAATATTTGTATATTACCACATATCAGAATTAGTCTGGTCTGTCAATGTCTTCTCTTGTGGTTTTATTGAAATGCAGAAAGCCAAGGAGGCTGAAAAGCATTGGAGATGTGGTTGTATAATGAAGG